TTTTACACCGCAATGTGAACAAAATTCACTGGCAAACAAAACGGCTACACATTTCTGGTAAACTCTTAAGGGCTCACCTGAATAATTTCGTGAAGGGGTGCTGACGGGAGCTGCCACAGAGCGGGTCTTTGCTTTGCGAGACGATGGCTGTCGGCGTTGCTGTCGATAAGCTCTTGTTCCTGCAGCCTCAGGAGTTTTCTTCCAGTGGTAATAGAAAGTGATCAGTTCCCCCTGAGGTTAACAGTACAGTTATCCTCAGACTTTTAAGAACAATCCAAGTTATGTTTCTAATCAAAAATTGAGCAACCATGAATCACCACATGCATTATTAATTGTTCTGTATCCAAAAACATAGTATTTACGGTCTTTTTGCTGGGCAGAAAGTCTTTCCGGATGCGGAAGAAATTCTTTCCGTACTGTCTCAGGCCTTTGATGAAGCGTTTCTGTGGGGGGGGGGTGAAGGTGGATACAATTAAAATGTACAGCTCCAGTACAGTAAATGTAATGTTGCTAATACACAATTATTATAATTAAGTACTAGACTTATTTGTTGTTTTAAACTAAAACAGTGGTTTACTTAACTGTATTTTATATCATATTAAATGCCGTTTTAACGGCAGTTCATGAAGTTGACTAAAATGCCAAATTCTGATCAGAGAACTCTCACTGCACTTTCAATCATGTTAAGTATACTTAAAATACATAAACGCTTTGCCTCTGTTTCATCGGCGAGGATTTTATCTGCCTGCACAAACACTGTTACGGACCAACAAACAATCAGCACTGACCTTCGGTGCTGTCTTACTAGCTAAAAGGCGTCTCACCACATCATCCTCCGACCAGCATTTCTCAATAAGCTTCGGCAAAGGCTTCTTAACCAGACGCTGGAGTGCTTTCGCTGCATCATAATGACTTGCATGTAGCTACAATTGAGAAAAACACATGTGTTTGTAAACATGCAATGCAAGATTCTTTGAATTTACTGGATACTAATGAATATAATTCAAGTTGTGCTCACCATGTTGAGGGCGTTGAGTGTGGTATCATCACGGGAGGCTGCTAAACATCCATCCTCTGTGGATCCACCATCACACATCCCTGCAAATGCTGCCATGCTCCTTACAAAAATAAACAAAACATATTTATGTTGTTATTTAAAATCAATATAAAGGGTACACTTTCCTAGTTTGATTTCCAGTTATTTATACATAGTGTGGTACAAAAATATCAAATGAGAAAGAAACACACCTGAGACACAAATTATGTTTAAACTGATTTATATGTAGTGCAACCAAGTTAACCACAGTGGCATTCACATTACCAGACTGGTTTCGTTTTGCAAGTACTTCCCTATTTGTGACAATTCCGTGTCAAAAAGCTAGTGAGCAACTCTGATTACTTTTGTGTTTCAATGTTGTTATTACAATAAAGCCCTACTTGATCTATTTTAAGTACTGGTTTGGCATTAAGTAGTATAGCAACAAAATGATTCCATACAGTTAGAGCACAGCAAAGAACAAACAGGTTAGGTTACTAGGTAGTGAGGACTATTTCGTTAAGCATTAAATAACATCTGCATCTTGCAATTCAGTAAGGACACGGCTGCAGGTAGATGATGAGAGTTTATAGTAAAATCATATTAATTTAACATTCTCAAAATATATTTTGCCGCCCTTTTGCAAAGATGCTAGCCTTTACACATGACTCAAGAATGGAAAAGTACCAGTCATTTTAAGCAATAGAGTGCAGACACTGACCTGGCAGCTCTGAGGTACATGAGAAGGTCGCAGTCATTGACCCCAGGTGTCCACTTGAGCTCTTCACTCTCTGTCTGAGTCTGTAAACCAGGACCAGGTCGTGGCTGCAACTCTGGAAGCTTGGCCTGCAGTGACACCAAACAAAAAAAAACAAAAATAACAGCTTGTTAACACTTGTTAAACCATCTCAAAACTGAATGCCCTGCTAAGATGTGTGTTTAATAAGGTGCACTCTTTATTAGAAATTGGAAAACAGTAATTTGCATTTTAAGAGTGATTCAACTGTCAAAAATGTGAATTATTACAAAGAGTGAGTAAAGTAATTATTGGATAATGGGTTTTGTTATAATCAAATATATGCTGCTGGTGTTTGGTGATAGTACCAGTCATACCATTAAAACAGATCATTCTTAATACCTACTGCATGGCGTGCAAATAATAAAGCACACTGAACAGACAGGTCTGATCAGTTTTATAATGAGCTTAACACTAGCCACTAGGACTGCAAAAAATCAAAAGCATGTACAAATGTCTTTTTATCATAGTCTTTAATTTAATTTTAATTTTTAAAATTACATAAATAACATTTCTCTCCTGGCAGGGTGTACCTGATGACTTGGCCCCACTCTTATCTCACCCTGTGTGCTGTTCAGGCTCCTGAAATAAAACAGAAAACATCCCATGTTCATGATGTGCATTCAGTTTCAGCAGCTACCTGAAGTCTTAACACTGGCAAAGTGTTTGAGAATCAAGGAAAAGTAAATGAAATTGCGTTGACAGTTAAAAACAAAGGGCTAAATATTAACTGTTAATTAACGCTGCACAGTGTCTACACAGACGTATGATCAATAAGCGTGGCTGGTGTCGGAGTTGACTCCCTCCAGAGACGATTTGCTCCCTCCCACTGCACCGTGATTTCAGCAGCAGAATAACATCCCGCCTCTCCATCACTGGTAACCAATCTCTGCTGTGACCTGCGACGTTTCTTATATTACATGAATGAAATCCGACGCTAGCTACCGCAAAAGACTGTCAATCAATCATACATGAGCTGCTAATTTTTTACGGTCACCATTAAAGAACAGTGTGTGCTACTTCGCAGAACAGGTTGACGGCAACTGTCTGACTCCGTCTCATGGCTAACTGTTTAGCTAAACTATGCAATCAATAATAAATATCAATGTTAGCGTGCACAACATGTCGTTGACATGCATAAAACATACATACGCGGCAACGACCCATGACACGTTAAACAGCCGATTAATTAAACATGTTTGCCCGCGATGCTTAAGGTCAATCTGCTGCACTATCATTATTTAAAGTAGGATCTGCAGAAATAGCTGTTAGCTGCAATAAAGCGAGCATAAATCCATTTTGCCAACAGGAGCTGCTAGCTGCTAACGAGACAGTAACACTACGCCGTTATTTGGCTAGCTTGTTAGCCAGACACGAACTTCGTGACCACTGACACTCCGACTATGTCATACAAACGGCTCTCAAAGTAACGCTACTAAACCCTAACATACATATTTCATACACGGCAGCTAAAATATAAAAGCAAACGTTAAGTTGATCAAGTTACCTCCGCGGACTGAACAGGTCGTCCATGTCGAAGGATGTTTGGATGTGGCTTGTTGACACTACGCAGCGCAGTGGGCGATACACACACACACAAACTATGCGAATCCCCTATTACATGGCTATTCAAAATGGAGGCGGTGTAGTGGAGGGAGTCGGTGTATTTTTTTTCCCAGTGCAGTGACCTCAGCAGCCACAGCTAAGCCTTCAAAGTTGTCTGGGTGTACATAACTGAGCATGTGCCGCGGATCAGCAGCAGAAGCAGCCACTGGGGCTGGATGTCAGCTGCTGCTGCTCAGGCGTCCATGAATCAACACATCACACTGTGTTCACGGCTGTGGTTATTAACATAACATTCACCCACCGCCGACACTTAATGGAGGACAGCGGTGTAGAAAACCACCGAGTGATGATATTTATTGCCACTTTTGTACTACGACAACTATTCCTAGAGGCCGATCGGTTATCAAGGTTACGAACCAAAGGCAGCATTACAATAATTAAAATTAGTTACACTGTTAATACAAATTTTAATTTAATGTTAGACTTATAACTTATATAGACCAATATTTTAATTATATACTGTTAATGCAAATACTTAAATGAAGTGTTAATACAAATATTTACAGATTAACAGAGCTGCTTAATATTACAATAATGAAAAAATAACATTGTCAATAGTTTAAAAAAAAAAATCATGTTAGAATAGATTAAATGATATCTGACTTAGGTTATAAAATCACAAAAGGAATGAAAACTTTTTGGTAAGGACTTCGCAGAAACTACATTTATGTTCACTGAAAGGCAAATAAGACAATCTACAAACCAGAAGATGACAGATTTGATTTTCAAATGCAAAATACGGTCAACCACTGAAAATTAGACTGAACAGGTTGTACTGTGATATTATGCACAATTTCCATCAAAAGTGAAAGCATTCATTTTGCATTAACCCGCAGAGCACATTGTGTTTTACGCCCTCTGTCGCCACAAGTTTTAAACACAAGATGTTAGTTAACACTGTGCATACCTGAACTCACAGCTCACAGACTGACACCACAAACTGATTTACACGCAAACGTTTTTTTAATTATGCACAAAAAAAGACAAAAAAATACACCTCTTTAATATTCAGAATCTCCCTGCAAAGGTGCAGACTTTTAAACATGCAAGTGCTAGTTTTTAAAAATTTTAAATTCTGTAACAAGATTAAACAGGTTTATGATTGAAATAGTACATAAAACTCAAGAATTATGAGTATGCTGTTGATACAGGAACAAACAAGTTCAGAATAAGACTGCACTGAATTTGACTTTGCCTCACATGAAAATGAGAAGTGTGATCTGAAACGCATAAAAAAAAGTAAATCTGAGGTGAAAAATTCCAAGTAGAAAGGAACTTTGTTAAAGTTTAAGTTTTTACTTCTTTTTTTTTTTGAGTGTTCCTATATCTGTTGAGAAATCTCTAACATGTACACATTTGCAGATACTTGTGCATATTTCCATATTTCCTCACAGGTCCCTCTCTAGCTTGATAATCGTCATTTGTTTCACTTCATTATACATCCATTTAAATCACAGAAATAATCAGAGATGTGGGACGTCAATCTCATTCAACCACCCACCCCCACAACAGCAAAATAAAATGAAAGAAATAATCAACACATTGTCACTAACAAAACTATTTTTTATTAAGTGCGTCTCCAAGTGCAGCTCGTGATTACAGTTAATCAAAATTAATATTACTTGAGTTATATATTATTTTACTCCACATAAAACAGAATGCAGCCAAAGACTTGGATAGTCAAGAGTCACAAATCCAGTAACTACAGTAGTTCTCTCAATTCATTAATTTATTACCACAGTTAGTATATGAGTAGTTCTAGATTAACCGTTGTTGCTTATAATGCATTTGCCACTATTACCCGATGTGCTATCATGGATTTGTGTGAGTGAAGCCATTTGCATGTCAAGTAAATGCTTCAACCATTTACTCAACCAGTGGATTTCTGAAGTTTCTTCCAGCAAAACGAGCCCCGTCTCCCAGCTCCTCTTCAATTCTACAGTTAAAAAAAAAAAAAACAGTCCTCTCTTTACTGCACATGTCTTCACAACAAATATGTATTTTCACCTGCATTTAATTGTATTACTGGTTTAACTTAAAACCCTAACTTGGCATTAATAAAGACTAAAGATAGGAATTAAGTACTGACAACGCTATTAAAATGAAGGGAAACGATACAAACCACTAAATCATCTTTATTCAGTATAACACAAGTAAGCAAGTTGTAGTTTAGCAGAAAGGGGTTTTATTTCACAAATTAATGAACACCACATGCGAGGTTACTCTTCATATTTAATTTAAAAAATGACATGATTGTGATAAAATTCCTCAGTGTACTTACCTTAGTATCTGGTTGTATTTGGCCAAACGCTCAGAGCGACAGGGTGCCCCAGTCTTGATCTGGAAGCGTTTGACAAAATGTGTACAATGATTTCAAACAGAAGAATTCAATGTCTGTTAATATTTGTCCAAGTCACATCATTATGATTCTTGTTTCACAGATATGATATTGGATTTTGACTGTTTTATGTGTCTTATTAAAAAGTATATCAAAGTTGTTTATAAAGTGGAAATTATTTTCCCCCAATGTGATAATAAACAGGAGAAAAATCCATAATTTGTGGCCCCACACATTCCCAATATATTATGTTCTCAGTTGACACAATCATACAATAAACATTTTGTCTGAATTTACCTGTCCAGTGCATAAGCCGACCACCAAATCTGCTATAAAGGTGTCCTCAGTTTCACCAGAGCGATGGCTAACCATCACACCCCAGCCATTCTCCTGCGCCATCTTACACCTGTGAGGAGGAAGAGTGAGACAATCATCCTCTTCACATTACAGGTCATTGTATGGTACATACAATGACCTGTAATGTGATGATTATGTAATCATATTTAACTGATGTGCATTAACATCCCAGGCTTATTTTAAGCGTTGTCTTACGCTCGCATGGACTCTGTAACTGTGCCGATCTGATTGACTTTAAGCAGCAGACAGTTGCAGGCCTTCTCCTCCACAGCCTTGCTGATGCGATTAGGGTTGGTCACCGTGAGATCGTCTCCAACAACCTGGATGTCTGTGCTTCCGGTGAAGTCTGTCCAGGCCGCCCAGTCGTCTTGGTCAAAGGGATCCTCGATGGAAACCACTGAGTGAAAATATGCACATATTCCTCAGTGGATAGCGAAACAGATGATCTGGTTTGCTTAAACTGAAATATTTGTGATCCTGTTCAGCTGTTGCTCCATCAAAAGTGCCAAAAAAAAAAAAAAACCACACAGGCAGCCAAATGAACCAATCACACCTTCTAATACCCCTCAGATTTTATTTCTGGTTTGTTACATCTTGGGTTGTCATTTTTTTTTTAGTTTTGACCATCAGTTACAATACCATCACCAATTACTCACCACAGTAATTGATATGTGGGACACAACAACATTACTACAGTGAAGTCCAACAGGTGCAAGAAACAAACAATGAGACGATTATACAGGGTCATAAAGAAGCCAGATGTTTAGCCAGATTATCTAAACCATTTTATTTTGGAGGTAAAACAAAGTGAGCGCAACCAAAATGTCTGACAAATCCCTCATTGCACAGGTATTGTGCATGTACAACAAGTACCGCATGTCAAAGATGAACCAGGAATTAAAACTACATACTATAATAGATGTTTACAGATTGTTTGGTTAATGATTTCATTTAAAATAGTCTGACTGCTCATGTTCCTTCGCCATCACACTCCACATCACAGACTAGGTTTCCTTACATTTTATTGTACTTTGAAAAGGAGGGATTACAAACAAAATTCAGCACTGGAAATAAATATCAACAGTCGCCCAGTATAAAAGATCACTATGTCGTGAGGATCCAGTAATGATCAGAACAATAGTGTTTTAACAAAATTATTTAATCTGTATCTGTAAATCATTGGCAGGTACAGATAGTCACTGTGGTATTATAGCTTGTGAATACTATATTTAAATGCAGCTTCCATAATTTGGCCAATTTGCTGTTTAAGATATAATATAAATAACAAAAAACACCTACATTAAGAAACTAAGCCAACATTGTTGAAATTTTCTTAACAGGAACACCTCTATCTTTGCAAAGACGACTGTTGTGATAAATAGTAATTTGACTTTAAGCTCCTGTTAGAAATCAATTGTTCTTGCCTGTGCTTCATTGTCACTGAGTCAAAGGAAAATTTTGTGTGAGCTAGGCTACATTTCAGCAAGTGCTTTGATTAGGTTTTACTTGATTCAAAAAGTAGATGACTTCCAGTCTCTCTTTTATCTGTTCTGTTTCATACTGGTTTAAAACTTGAGCTGCAGGTCAGGATGCCAGCTGCTTTTTTTAGATAAAAAAAAAAAAAAATACAAAGTACTATGAATGAGCAAAGGATGAAACAGGTGTTTGAGGTTGCAAATCAGTGTTGACAATAACGCACAATCCGATGAATAGATTTAAGACAGGAAAGGAACCCTGTATAGTTACAGAACAGCCAGATCCCGTCCCTTCATGACACTACGCTGGTGCTGACATTACTGCTACATTGTGTGTCCTGCTGTCCGCCTGCCAAACAATGTGTATGAAGCGAAAGTGTCAGGAGGTTACCTGGATAATCCTTCACAAAGCTCTTGTAGAGATCAGCCAGCTCGTCAGAAGTGATGTAACGGCTCGGGTCGTCAGGAGACTTGAAGTCCAGGTCGTATTTTCCCTCCCGGTAGAATTCAGACGCTGCCACATCCATGCCAATCACAACCTCATCTGTGTATCCTGCTTTGGCAATGGCCTCCTTTATTAACTCCAGAGCTGCAGAGTCAAATGATCAACATAAAGAAAAAACAAGAGTGTAGTATTGTCACTTCTCATGATTTACACTTTAAAACTTGCATGGAGCACCAGAGAAAACAGATTACCAAGAGTACGTGAATTATGATTTACAAACTGAGGGACACAATAGAAGCCTAAATTCTATAATGCAATCCAATAGTCCTGTAACTAATATCGCCCATATTCACACACACATTTTTAAACAGTTGGACTGTCACAAAGTTGTTTTTAACATTTGCATCACCATGTACGTAAATGAGATTGGTCAAATATTACAAATACCATTCAAGATAGCCCAGTCCAGCACAACACCGCTACCAACTGCAATTTCAAAATGCTCCATAGAAATGAGTCAAAAAGAGTCTACTAAAAAATTTAAAACCAACATTTTCAGTATGGCTGTTTATTACTGGGCTTGTGAGCTGCATTACATTTTGCAGACATTTCTATTTTTATGGTCACTTAGTGCATGATCCAAAATGCCAACCTTCCCAAATCTTAGCCCAGTCATGAAAGCAGTTTGACTTCACACTGGGCAAAAGGAACCTGAAATCTGTGCTAGTCACACAGGGAGTTTAATATATCAGCACAAACTAAGTCACTCCTCTTACATACCTTCCATGTTCTCCAGGATGTTTGGGGCAAAGCCACCTTCATCGCCCACATTGGTAGCATCCTGACCGTATTTCTTCTTAATGACGTTTTTGAGATTGTGGTAGACCTCGGCTCCGATGCGCATAGCCTCTTTGAAGGTGCTTGCACCAACGGGTAGGATCATGAACTCCTGCATGGCAAGCTTGTTGCCTGCATGAGAGCCACCGTTGATCACATTGAAGGCCTGGTGGTGGTGGAGGGAAGAGAAATGAGTGCTGTTCACTTCACAGTGAACTGGAGGATGAAACACCAGGGAAACGTACATTGTATGTCATTTGACACCGATCCTTACCGGCACAGGCAAGATGACCTCAGGGTTTCCTGCAAGGTCAGCAATATGACGATACAGGGGGACCCCTTTCTCTGCTGCACCAGCTTTGCAAACAGCCAGGGACACGCCCAGGATAGCATTTGCTCCAAATTTGGCTGTTTGGAAAAAATTATATATATCTATCCCAAAAATAATCATAATGAAATAGAGATTCACATATCACTGCTGATTGTAGTAGGGGGACAGAAACTTTCACTAGAGATGCTTCATAATGCAGCAGGACAATGACCTTAAAACAGAGTCCAAGTAAGAAAAGGGTTTCTAGAGCCAAACTGTTAAAATTTCCAGCTGGCCAAGTTGGTCATCTGACCTCTATCCAAAAAGACTAGACTGAAGACGCGTACAATGGTAATCCAAAAATGTTTCGAAGACTGTGCTGCAACCTACATATGTTGTATGGACATAAGTCACAGCAGTGTGATTATTGTCACTTACATTTGTTGTCTGTGCCGTCCAGGTCAATCATCATCTGGTCAATTCTCTCTTGTTCAACCACAGATACATCCTTAGGAGATAAGAGGAACGAATTGGGAATGACAAAAGCATCTAAATTAAGAAAAAAAGTCTGAAGTTTTGGTAAATAAAACACATCGACAGAAAGTGAGAATTATCTTCTTACTTGGCCAACAAGTGCAGGTGCAATAGTTGAATTTATGTGTTGTACAGCCTGTGAGACTCCTGTGAAGGACAGATCAGTGTGATTATTCTATATTATTTATACATTATGGACAAATTTTGTCAAGCCAATAAAGACAGATTTAGAGACACATGCAACTTTTATTTCTTAAATACATAGAGACGCATGCAGTGGTATAATTTATTATTAGATTTTTAGGATAAGAAACATTACTACTCTCATTCCACATGTCAACAGTTTTATTTCACAGTTGATCAACCCACATGCCAAACCGCAACATTGGAGTGACAGCATGCTTTTCTGACAATTAACCATGCACATAATATCAGGTTGATCGCACTGAATGATCAGTTTGTTTGT